TAAAACAAAATTCTGCTTGGAATCAAAGTTCTAACGAAATTCTGCTGACAAAATATAATTCTCAGCAGAATTTTGTTTTTGAAGGGGGGATGTACATATATCATTGTGTATATGATAAAGCACAATTCTGCTTGCAATGAAGGTTCTAACAAAATTCTGCTGAAAAAATATAATTCTCAACAGAATTTTGTTTCTTGAAGGGAAGATGTGTATATAAGAGTACGTATATGATAAAGCATAATTCTGCTTGGAATTAAAATTCTAACACAATGCTGCTGGATAAAATATAATTCTCAGCAGAATTTTGTTTTTGAAGGATGGATGTACATATATCATTGTGTATAATGTTAAAACAAAAGTCTGCTTTTAATCAAAATTCTAACAAAATTCGGCTGAAAAAATATAATTCTCAGCAGAACTTTGATTTTGTAGGGGGGGAAGAGTATAAAATGAAGTATATAAGGGTAGAAGACAAATGTAATGAAATAGTAAAATTCTAAAATTCTGCTTGTGATGAATTCTGCCACTGCTGGAAAAGTGTGCGTTGGACTATTTAACAACACGTGTTATTATTAATATTGGCTTTCTTGCTCCTTTTTCTCGAGAATATATCAGGATGAGATTTGTAAAGTCATGAGGATAGATTTGAATGATTTGAAGTTCCTAATAACGATTGAAATTCTAATAGATATCGAAAAAACACTTCATATCGTTTTCCACATAGAGAAAAACCTCATTTTATTCTTTTTTGTATTCGCAAATTCCACTTTTGCTACATTGTTGTTGAAACGGGTCTTTAATAATACAGACATGTTAGTCTCTTCTTTCAAATAAAATAAGTTTTGTGTTAAGCTTCGTTGCTACAGGAGTTACATGTATTTTCAATAGTAACCTTTGGCACATTCTGTATGTTCGTTATGTGTTATAAACAGGGAGTTTTAATGCGGTCAGTTAAATTAGTTGATAACATATTCACACTAACTACGTGAATATTAGTGATTATACTTATTTTTTTTCTTGTTCTTTTAAGAAAGACATGCTTCGACGCGATTTAATAAAGATTTTGTCTGCCAAAGATTCATGTTCATCTATTACTTCAAATTTTTTGTAAAACTGAAACAGAGATAAATGTTTGGGATATTATTAAGCGGTCAGTAAAATAAATGAAATGGTCAGTAAAATATATGAAATGATCAGTAAGATAAATGGTCAGTAAAAAATGTATAAATGATCAGTAAAAAGATTAAATGGTCAGTACTTAGATTATCACTCATATAAAAAAAAGATCGGAAAAAATCTGATTTTAATCGATTTTTTTGTGATTAAAAATCGATTAAAATGGGACAGTTTTAACCAGGTTTTTAATCAAACTAGTGATTAAAATAAATTAAATTTATAAATATCCATTTTAACCGATTAAAATTTTTTCATTGACTATTTTACTCAATTTTAGTCAGATTATTCGATTTTTAATCTATTAAGATCGATTAAAATTTTTAAATCGATTTTAATCAATTCTAATAGTTTTTCTTTTTAAATGAATAAGTACCAATTGATATCGAGTCTTGAAGCATGGAATTTATGTCAAAGGTCCATCTAGCATCATATCTACTAATTTTCCGAGGCAAGGAGTCCGAAAAAGCGATCGAACATCTGAGTTTTCAACATAAAGTTTGAGAAAACGCATTTTACCGTCGCCGCCATTAAAATTAATATTTATAAATTTAATTTATTTTAATCACTGGTTTGATTTAAAAAATCGATTAAAATTAGATTTTTTCCAATCTTTTTTTTATATGAGTGATAGTCTAAGTACTGACCATTCAATCTTTTTACTGATCATTTATATACTTTTTACTGACCATTTATCTTACTGACCATTTCATCTATTTTACTGATCATTTAATTTATTTTACTGACCGCTTAAATAGTAGCCTAAATGTTTGTGATCCGAAAGTCATAGAGGCACTACAAATATAGTGATACACATGGACTACCTAACAGAGTTGAAACCGGACAGGTTTTTTCTGTCCGGTCCGGTCCGGCCGGTTAAAAAATCTGTCCGGTCCGGTCCGGTCAGCATCCGGCCGGACGAATTTTACAGCCAAACTGGCGAAAATCCGGCGAAAATAACCGACCATAAAAATGTCTGTTAACATAAAATGTTGGCGAAGGGGAATTGAATATTCACATGCAGAAATCCCAACTAGGGGTGATCAATTTACGTTTACGAAAAATTTATAAATCCAAAAATAAATTTTAAGAATTTTAAATTAAAAATAAATTTTAAGAAATTTAAATGAAAAATAAATTTTAACGAATTTAAATAAAAAATAAATTTTAAGAAATTTAAAATAAATATAAAGTTTTATAAAGTTTTATTTATTTCCAGTTTAAATTTATGTAAATCCAATTTAAAATTATAATAAATTAACAGCAAATCGCCCCCCTTAATCGAACTAGAAACTAAAACTTGGGACTGAAACTCTCCCTTCATATTTTATAGCAAGGTGCGTCGACTTTCCGAGCCCGACATCGATATAAATTAGCTATTCAGATCAAATCTGTTTTTCATCTTAATTTCAAAAAAGAAAAGAAAAGAAAAGCAAGTTTATAACACATCTAGCATAAAAATGTAAATTTTTATTTTTCTTGATTCAGGCAGCTGCCTAAGTAGAACAAGAGAATAAATTATTTGATCAAGGTTAAATTGAGCGATA